AATTAAATATAGAATTTATTACGGGCATAGAAATTAATTAGTAATAATAATACAGTAAATGACTATCGTAGTCCTGCTATATGTTACAGTAGTATACTGAGGTCAATAAAAACTATCTACTTTAAATTTGGACCTTCTTACACGCAGCGAGTCAAAAATAAAAAATATTAGTTAAGTAATTTAGGAGTTTATCTCGCATGAAAATACGTAATGTTTGATTTTTATATAATACAAAGATCATGTAAATTTATTTGGATTTTTTTATCAAATATACGTATGTATATAGTGGACCAGATGGGAATCTCGAAATAATATCATATTCTAAGTTGAATAGTAATTCACTTATATGTTAAATGTTATTCTTAACAAGTGTAGATATAATATATAGGATAATATCCTTCTATGGAGAATTATCCGTTTACAACAGTGGGACGATAATGGGTTGTTACAGTATCGTATTCCACATAGGTACTAGTTGAAACTAGCCAGCTTAATTACCTCGACGGCTGAGCAACGCCACTTTGTTCTTTAGTTTCAGTCTTTTTAGAAATATTCGAAAATGTAACTTACAATATATCCACCAGAATACATTTTTGTTTTTAATACTTATTTGTATAATAAAATTACTTTTAATGTAATAATAATAATAACTCCGGTGAATTAACATAGCGACTTCGTCCGCGTGGAATTTAACTTTATTTTTCTAAAATAAAAGTAGCATAAGTTCCTCCTTATTACATCAGTTACCTGCTAAAAAAAGTCCGGTCAAAATCGGTCCAGCCATTTCAGAGATTAGCCGGAACAAACAGACAGACAAAAATTGTAAAATATGTTATTTTGGTGTATGTACCGTAATTATATATATATGCATGTAGTAAAAACCGGTTATTTCAATATTACAAACAGACACTCCAATTTTATTTATATGTATGGATACATAAAAATACAAATGTTTGTACCGTGCGAGGAATCGAACCCGCGACCATCAGAAAAGCGGTGTCCGCTAGACCACCAAGGCCTATATGTATATTACTTACCTGTAGGTATGTATGTATATTATATACATAATAATAGCTTGTTATAATCGTTATCGAATACTCTTGTCGAACCCAATTAGTCTGAAAGACAGCGGTTCTTCCCATATCACCTTGAAATAGAATATAACCTGCCATGTACCTAAGGGCTGCAATTCGACTGTTACCATTTTACCGCAGTAACAAATATGTCTTTATTTATACCATTTAAAAACCACCAATTGTAGTACATATTGTATCCTACTGGATTTATAAATAGTTTTTAATTGTGTAATCAATCAATTTTGGATGTAAATTGTAATGATTTTAATATTTTTTTGTATATTTGTACATTTTATAATTGTCTCAAAATTGAAGTTTTTTAGATATAAAAACAATTTCTATATTCTTTTTTTTAATATTTACATTAAAAGGTCATTGTGTAAATTATTTAAATTATCAGAAAAGGAAACTGTAGATGTGTAGATATGTAGATACACATATCGATATCAAAATAAATATTGATCTTAGAAGGTACGGTGCTAATGGGCTGATAAAATATCTTTACCGATATCTTTAGTCAGTGGAAGCGATAAAATATAAAGTGATTATTAATATACACTCAATATTTATTTAAACACTGCCACAAACTTTAGTTTATGAAGCACATATAACTAAACTGAGAAATTAAACCCGTTAGTTCGTATCGTTATTAATAAAATATAAATAGTACCTGTTACGATAGTATTTTAGTACTGGATCCGAACTAGCTGATATATGAAGTGGATATAATGCTTTTAATTTCTCTATTTTCGTTACACAGAACTAATCCAACTAACCTTAGCTTGTCAGGATCCGACGTATCGAGCCGATCGATCCGGATCTAAATAGATTTGCAGGTACAGTTTGAAATAACCGCATTGATAGATGATTGGAAATGCACAGACACACAGTTCTATTTCCAAATAAACGCAATTTGCACGTCGTTTAGTAAAGTTGCGATGTGAATCTAATGATAAGGAGTTATAAATAGAGAAATAAGTATCAACGTCATTCCCGTGTCATACATACATACAACAACAACATACATACAACTGCCGCGAGACACCTCGTACCTATTGTTTTAGTTTTCTATTCCATATGGTATTTCCTAGAGGTAATATCAATAAAGGGATGTACTCCTTCGACGGATACATTTATATCTATTCGTAGGCAACATACATATCCAATTAGTTATCGTTTTTTTTTAAATAAATATTTTCATGACCCTGGTAATTTCCTTTCAGCCAAACTATTACAGGACAGACAAAATACAAGACAGCTATTAATGACCAGGTAGATACTACTAGAACGTCCTTACAGTATTGACAATGAAGTCATATAAAAATGGATTTCTTTGCTTTGTAGGTTAGATGACAAGAGGCGGGTACTTCTTTTTTCAATTACTTAACTATTTATGTTGCCATAATTTATCAAATAAATTTAAAACCAAAAGAGATTTCAATTATAATTTATTTTAGTGTGTATATTCTAGGACTCGCGAATTGACTTTTTTTTTAAATTTAGAAACCAACGGTTCATTAGTAAAGGAAATAATAACTTTTACAATATTAATCTTCTCTTGCTAACTTACTCACATCATATAATAAATTTCAATATTTTCATATGATTATGTAAACTTTTTACTTAAGAGCTGAGCAAATATTAGCGATAAAGGAAGTTATAATCCTAAATAAAACTACTCGGCTTAAGCAACGCTGAGCCACGAATAGCTCAATGAATAAATTATTAATCACACATAAGTCTATTTAATAATCTTTATACATTTACAAAATGTTTAAATATTTGATTGGGTATTGAATATGACGGCTTAATACATTTAAAATCTAGAAACTTATTTGTATTAAAGAATAAACATATTTTATTAATTATGAATTACGAAATCAAACATGATTTTAAGTATTATAAAATACGTTTATGATATCTTCTAACATACTAAATAAATTAGATTGTTTATATAATTCGAAATTATTTAGACATTAAGCAATATTTTGTTCACGCTTTTAAATTTGGTAAATTTAAATATGTTTTGATAAGGTAACCCTAATTGTTATACGTCTTCATGACCTCCATTGCTCATGGTAACAGATTGACCCTCTTCTCTTCAGGTGTACATACTAAACGAATTCGTGTCAATTTCATGCTACGCCGATTCGTCCTGATGCGTAGGTACCTATACATTTCGCTGTATTATTACATTTAAGTGCTCTTTTACACAAATAATAATAATAATCTCAGGACAATTCAGACAGCGCCATCTAGACCCAAGTTAAGCTAGCTAAAGATTGTGTTATGAATACTAGCTGACTGATACAAATACATAGATATTGTTTTCGTAAATACATATAGTACAATACATAGGTACAGAGAAACCAGATCGTTATAAACAATCATACTCAAGAATACAAATGTTTGTGCCGTGCGATTGAACCCGCGGCCATCGGAAGTACTACGGTGTGCTACACCATTAGACCACCGTCATCAAATATTTACATGTATAGATAATTATACATACTAATCAAACGTAGTAATTATTTAATGGTATTTAGTAAATAAAACCGGAAGGGTCGCGAATGCAGGAGACACGGTGGTGATCGCTCGCCGTTGCATAACGATGCATCCTGCATCTATTATACTTTATGAGTTTGTTTTTACGCCTCAAAACCCATGTAACTACCCCTTTATAAATGGATATATGGCCGTCGTATGGGTATGGAATTCAGCGTTCAAAGTTCAATGTACAATATAATCCCAGTAATCGTAAACCTAAATAAATTAAAAAAAACGACAAATATGTTATTTGGATATTTTAATTAAATTGACATAAAAATATTATCGAAAATCTTGTATTTTTATAATGTTTATATTGTGTAATTATATATTTATATGTATACTGTACTAAGTTGCAACACTGATAAGTTGGATAGTCTATTGTGGTGTTGTAATATTGAAATATATAATTTAAAAAATCTAATGAGACCTTATGAATAGTATGATCTGTGTTGTATTTATTTTCAAAAGAATTTTAAATGAGTATTTTTTAATATCAATCAACATTATTTACATTCATGTTAAAATATAATGAAATTATGAATTTGTTATCTTTCATAGCAAAATTATTAATAGGTACGTACTCATCTAAATATAATCTTGATCCAATTTGGTCAATTTGTATTCAGTATACAGATAGATATGATTTAATCAAGAATATTAGCATCCGATAATTGATATATATTTGTCTTCGTGAATAACGAATAATATATTTCAGTGGAATTATTTCCAGCAATCGTTATAATAACCTATTGTCGTAGCACAGCTAAGAAACGGTCTCTCGACCATGGTTGGCCGTATATTATTTAGAGTTTCCTTCTCTTGATCCGCACAGATTTGTCTCTACTTTGTTGGTTGCTCTGTTACCTCTTACATGGATAGAAAGAAAATAACTCCTCGTACATTATATTCTTAACCCGTCACTGTACGGAGAATAAATAATCCTGGACAATTAACAGAGCGCCATCTAGTCCCATGGCAAGCAGAGCTTGTCATATGCTAGACAACTGACATAAATACTTAGATTTTTTTTTGTAATAACATACATAATGTACGTGGAAAACACGCAGACCAAAACAAACAATCTTACTCTTGTATATAAATATTTACACCGGGGAATCGAACCTGCAACAATCGGAAGTAAACCGCTAGACCATCGAGGCCGTCAAATATTATTTAGTTGAGATTTTCAATATTTATTTTTATATAATAATGTCTTATTTTATTAATAGTTACCTAATGTGGCCCAAATTGGATATTACATTAATGGTTAATTACCAATATTAGCCGCAATTCACGAGGAATACGAAAATGAAGATAAAAATGTTACATCGCATAATTTATGAAACAAGGTTGTAATAAAAACTTTTATTGCAGGAAAAATCCTCCCTCGCAATACACTAACTATAACCGTAATGAGCAACTGACACTGCAATGGGCCAAAACCTCCATGAGCGAGATACGTTCTGAAATGCGAGACATGCGCAAGAGCATCGACAACTCTGTACTATTGCGGGAGCTACACGACATACGCAACAAGGTAAGCCATATTACACTTTATTGCTCTGTCAATAAAATTATATTTTATTCATACCCAAATATCAATTAATTCGCAGACGACCCACTCATAGTTTACTTTGGTTTAGCGTAAAATATGAGTTTAATTGGTTATGCTTCAATAAATTTCAATCTCGCCTATAGATAGTATTCTATCAACGGCAAATATGTTTATACATATTTATATATTCATGTAAATAGATATCCCAATGTATTCCGATGTAAATGTACGTGTATTGCTTTTCTGTCAGTTTCAATTCAATAAAGCGAAATCGAACCATCGGTTCCAGACGAATTTTTGCATACAGAAGGTTTGAAATGAAAAAGGTTTGAGTGTTGAAGTCAGTTAGGTACCTATTCCTTCCTACCTATAGATATATTATATAATGTTGATAATATATACAGCTCTTTATATAAATTATGTCTATTAAAATTAGTTAGTTATTACTAGTTAGTGTTACTTTTTTTATTTTAAATACAGTCCCATATTAAAAAAAAAGTAACATCAATATACTGAATATTTTTCTATATACATTTTCTACATATAATATAATATTTAAAACTAATACATTGATATTGTCTGTGTGATCACGGCACTGAAGACGGCAATCTGCCACGGTAGCGCCGATAACACACCTTTCGGCCAGTAGTCCTCTTTCATAAAGGTGAGCAGCAAGTCGGTGGGGACCAGGGCCACAAATGCTTTGAAACTCGCGTTATGACTCGACTTCAGCTGCGTCACCCTCAATGTCAGGTTACTCTTGGTACGGATATAATCGACAATGTCCAGCTCCCCCTACATATAAGCCTTCCTTTTGAATCACTCTATCTATTAAAAAAACCGCTTCAAAATCCGTTACGTAGTTTTGAAATTTAAGTATACATAGGGAATATCAGCGACAGCGACTTTGTTTTATACTAATGATGTTTCAAGTTTCAATTTAATATGTTCGGAATAGGTTATCCGTAACATTGGGTATGCAACGGCATTATCAAAATCTAATCTAATTGTAAACATTCTATTTATATTTGGTTCCTAACAAAGTTTTCTATCGTAAAGCCCACCGGTTTCGAGTTCTTATTTTGGGGTGCATTCGAAGGTTCATTCCTAAGTAAACCCCGCACAAACTATCTGGTATCTATATGTAGATACATCAGGTTAGAATTAACCCGACTAGAATCGGATTAGAGCGGATCGTTACATGGAATTAACATAAATGCTGTACACTTATTAACTTAACTTCAATCTCGACCTTTGATAAGTTGACTTGAGGTCATCATGAATTATGGAATAGGAATTTTCAACCTTACTTTATTTGATTGAATATGCGAAAATGCTAATGTCAAGTTAAGGAATTTTGTATTTAAGGAACCTGTGTTTATTAACCTAAAAATTATTCGTCAGACGAACAGTGCTTATTAATATCTCTGGATTTTCATATTTTTTTGCCAATTTTGATAGTAACCTGTGTGTTATTAAAGATGAAAATTACATTACAGAGAATTTACCACTACTATTCAAACTAGGACGAGCCTGTATTACAAACACTAGTTTCTTCTTCGATAAGTAAAAAAAAACTTGTAGTAAAATTAGTTATGAATTGCATTGGTAATAATTTACTCACTTATATACTTATGTATATTTATGGATATTTCTATATCGAAATACAAATTCATGGAATTTTGATCAGACTGTTTTTAAATCAGTCATTTGTAAAAACTAACGGTTAAAAATGGACATTTTGTATAGATATACAGGGTATTTTTCATTCTGAGAAATCATTTCCCGTAGGAAAATACAAAACCTAAATCAATAATTTAAGTCTAACAGATAATTGAATAAACTTGTTACTGTCATGGTCATTTATAGGTTATTTAACGATATAGATGAAATAGCGTATATAGTAATTCAGTAAATTATTACTTAGGTATTCTCATTTATATCTATATTATTTTGTATATAATATTTAATTTGTGAGACCAAGAAATATTGTGACTATAGAATAATAATAATTTGCAACAAAAATCATGAGAGCACAATATAAAGTATACTAAAATCCTAAATTTGTAAAAAAGTTATATGAAAAGAGTTCGCGACAGCCAATCGTCACATGTACATCTACTTATCATAATATTAAAAGACGTCCTCTTACTACAAGAGGGGTAGCTTGTCCTTGATAGATAGAATTGAGGAAGACTTGTTTTATTATAGATATATAATATTCTTTCGATAAAACACGGAATGTTTAAACCTATATGTCAATACAAATAAAGTAAAAAAATATATATATATATAGACATGTAGGACTTTTCGGCCACTTATACACGTTATATATTTTTATCACTATCCCAATTATCCCGTCCTCTCTGAATCCATATCCTGTTCAACTAAAACATTGTAACTGTTTCAAATAAATTTTAATAGCGTGAAGTTAAATAACAATACAATATGTTTACATCAAAAGTCTGAAAGGGTAGAGAGGTTTTGTTGTTCTGTAACAACAAACAATGTAATATCTACTTCATCAAACTATATAAATTTACTGGTATCAGGAGAGATGGTAATGCCGATTGTTGGACATACAGCAACGTACAACTGATACAAGTTGTACGTACGTACAATTGTATAACGCAAGTCTGACAACTCTGCAACGGGTTGTGAAACTAACAAACAAGATTACATACAACAAACTAAACTTCCATAGGGCTTATCTGATTTACGCTGAATTTGCTTCCAACCTATCTAATGCAGTAGTAGTAAATATTTTAAATCGGCTGCGGAATATTTTTATGTACAATTTGAAACAAAATGAGTTCTTAGAATTGTTCTATTATGTACGTATATACTTTACCTTTTGTAATAATAACGATTTCAATAAAAATAATTTATGCTGTAAGTCTGCTAATGGCCTGTATGAGTGGTACGCAATACTTATTAAGAATATCGTCTTGTACTTTTAACAAGAGCCCTCCCATAAAAATCTATACTAATATACTACTTGAGATCGCTAATGAGCTATGCTACGAGTACTGAGAAAAAATATGTTTACTACGCAACATAAAGAAAAATTAAAAATTTACAAATGAATATTCTCGTCGAAAGAAATTTCACGTCTCCCACGTCAAACTCAGATTTTTATGTGTCTTAAGTTTCTATATGTCATACCTATTACATTTAATTAAAATTATAGTAACTTTATTTCATGAGCTCTTTCATAATTTTAAAAAAGTACCTCCTCTAAGTTGTTGTTATTAAATAAGATTATATATATTTTGTTTCACGGCAATGTTTAGAATATTTCGTAATGGAATAGTAACAATAACGTTGTTTTCAGCTAAAACAAGCTTTGGTGGAGACTGCTGATCTAGCACAATTGGCGCGCACTCAAGAGGCAAGGCTGGATAAATTAGATAGCGAAGTGAGTCGCCTGAAGTACGAAGGTCAACCAATCAAGAACGCAATCGCCCAACTTAAGACCCGCGTTGCGAAGCTGGATAAAGAGGTCAGTGCTATTGTTAATATTTTTACTAATCATTCGAACTATGAGACTACGAGTCATGTGCACTCAACTAGACAATGTACTTCACTGATATTGCTATAGTATGCTATACTATCTGTATTATATCTAATAATATTCCGACTCGACTGAAGTGGCTTGATAATCCAAGGGGGAAACTCCTTAAAAGAGCCCGTTAGCGTTCTGTACAACCCTATGTTGTTATGCCAACGACAACTGTCTTTGACAGATTTCGTCTCGCAAATTAACCAAGACTACGAGTTTAAAATAAATACGAGCAAATATCTACCACCGTTTCATCTAGAAATTGGAACATATATATAATGAATATGTAGGTATATAAATTATAATATTTCTATGTGACTACACCCACCCTGACGTCTAAGCTTCCAACGGATAATATCGAATAGAAGATAATAAAGCCAACAAGAAAACTGTAATGATCTAATTATAAATGTTACTGGTAAGAAGATTACAATAAATGTATAAATATTACTTAGAAGGACAGAACAACAAAGCCTTAATAGTTTTCTGTTCTTGGAGTAACTACCCGGTATTTTGTTTAACGCGGCAAGTAATGAACCATGAAGACCCGGCCCTAATAACTATTTCAACCCCTCACTTATGTAAAAATGTTTTCCCAATTTATTTTTCTCTCTGCCCTCCTCGTTTGCTTGCGTAAAAGATAACGCTATAACTATAGGTACTTATAGGTATTCTTGGCGGAAGTTATGTTACTTGGGATATTTTGTTAGGCCAAGAATATTTTCAGCAAGTCGACGGTGATATGTGTTCATATACTTGCAAAGTAGTAATATGCTTTCAACATGACTTTTTATAGGTAGTTAAACCTAGTCGGCTCATATTAGATTTTTAGTAAATATACAGCTCTAAATAAACAAAAACCTATTATATTTATTTCTTGATTCTACAATCAAACAATGATTTTTCACTTCAATGTATATATATACAGTATATCACAGTACAGCAAGTACACCAATAGGTTTATTTGAATAGAGCCCTCTTATTGTTCTTATACATCAAAAGTTATTTGTATATATGTTACAAATAACTTTAGAGAACGTAATAACGTAAATTTAAAATTTAATTTAAATTTCTACATATAACTGTTTAAAAATCATATAGACAAGAAGCTACGAAAGACATAATAACGCGGATATTACATCGCGTAGCCGTTGAAGTAGGACTTTCATATTGCAACGAGTAAAATACGGCCAATATGAAGCAGCGTGAGCGGAAATGATTGAAGCTGTCACCTACCTACCACCCACAACGTACCAACGTACGAGAACATACGAATATACAGATGATGTCTACATTGGCAACAAACACCTTATTTATTTATCACTAGCATACCCCTCAAACGTAGTTTTGCCATATAAATTAAAATCGCTATTAAAAATATGGTTTGACACTAGAAGGGTGAAAATTTAGAATTGTATGTATTTAAATAATATATTGTCCAAATGAGAATAATTTATTCTTAGAATTGGACAACCCTTATCGCACTATAATTATTATTATAATCACAATGATGATTAAACGTATTTTCAGAAATTGAAAACGTTATGTGTGACAATTCTTCTAACAGTTTTAATGGTATAGTGGTGTTTTGTTGAAACGCTCAACGAGGCCACGCGTTCGATTTTCAATCTAGTCCAGTCAAGTTGTCCTTTAAAAGTTATCCATTTAGCAGGTTAGTGCACGAACCAAATGGATATTGTGATATCGATGTGCATTTATTCGTCCATAGTGTTATACTGGATGGTATGTAGTTTACGCAATATAAAGCACTGAAATGAAATATTTAAAAAAATATGACTTCTATATTTTTATTTACATTTTTGAAGCGTTTGAGTTTGAATTCTCTGCACATAGGAATATTATTTGATATCTATTCTATTTGATTTAAGTTCTATCTCGCTCACAATCAGCCGGAAGGTTGTTCTATCTAGCAACTAGTATAAATCGCTAGAAAAATATATAATAAAGTGGAAAATTCTAGACCACATATATTTATATCGACTATTGCTTCTGATGAAGTCTTGTTTAGTTACATGAGAATTGATAGTAGCGTTCGTCTAAAAACCTATTACGTGATGACCGATATTATATATGTATTCATAGATAACTATGAATTTAGTTATATATCGTGTATGAAATATATTCAAAGTCCACTATACTTTAGTGGAGCAGGTCCGGCAGGGTGGACTTCCCAAGAGAACATTGTTTTCGTTATTTCCATCCAAATTTATCGGAACCCTTACGATGATTCACGGTCCAGCGCCGACCGGACTGCCTTTACATTATGTAAGGATTTTTTACCTCCTTTATCAGAAAACCCTTTCGATAATACCAAAATGGTAGCGAGCACTTTGTTCTTAATTTTAATATAATATTGATGTGTAATAAATTCAGATTTCAATTAGCTATGACTTTCAACATTATTTATTTCATTTGCAAACGAAATCACATAACTCAATACGTTGATTTTCATTCATTATATTAATGATGTAAATGTTTAGAATAAAATTAATTACCTGGCCTAAATTGGGTATGAGTATAACATTATTATTTTCCAATATTATAGGGAGTTTACATCGCTTTGAATGTTGAAGTTTAGATACTGGGAAATAACTTGACACGATATTGATATCCTGCGGGATGCATTAACAATTTTACACGCGCCGAACTATCAAGAATATTCTTACTATAGCTAGCTAGGTTAGAACTGAACTATTCTATCTATCTAATCTATTAAATAATAGATTAGATAGATAGAATAGTTGACTAATCTTATATTTAGATAGAATATGCTTTATTGGAACTATACATATATTCAGGTAATAGAATAAACAGTTTGCACTGAATATTAGCGTAGATAATAATTATCATTACGAATACTAGAGAAAGTACACTCCAAACATTTTAAAACGACTTATATAGAGCACAAAAGTAATTTCTATAAAAATACGTTCATTGTTATTGTTAAAATAACAATGAATCCTTGCACCTATTAATTTGTATTTGATATCTCATTATAAACTGTATTTTTTCCCATTTCCCTTCTCGATACGCAAGTAGAGACCTTGCTTCGCCACTTCGTTTGTTATTATATCAAACGTTATATTGGATTACAAAGACGTGTCGCTATTGCCAATTTGAATAGCACGTCGCATCACATACGGCATGCGTTAAAGTGCTTGATTGAATCGTAATCGGCGACTATTTGATTTTATGTGTATAGTCGTAAGGCTCAAAATCATTTGATACTATATAATAACAGGTGGAGTCCTGCTTCACGCTCTGTGATCGTAACCGTCGCATCGCCGACCGTTGCGTTTGCAACTTTTTACTGGTTTTTTAAATTTAGAATGCAGTTGTTAGGATCTACGCTTACCGTTTGGGGTCGAAAATATAAATTAGCTTACTTATATTAATCTGGAACTAATTATAATAATATTGTAGTCTTCTGAAATATAACCTGAGGTTTTTTTTATTTACTTCTTTAGGAATATTAACTGTGTTTTACATGTTTCTAATCACATTGTATAGTCCTATGCCAATTAATAATCTTCGCCAGTAGTAAAGATATCTAGAAATTTGATACTTAAAGCATATTTTCGAAATAAATTTATGGAATTATAAAAAATGATGAGTGATCTAACTTATGTTAGAGATGCTTTGCTATATTAAGATAAGTCAAATATCTCGATGCAAACTAAGTGAAGTTAACTTAGTGTGGCTGTAATATATTCTAAATTTTCGAATTACGTCTATAAAATAAATTTTATTACATGTATTTCGAATATATAAGATTTAGATGTGTGTTTTTCGCATCTTAATATTATATTTCAAACAGATTGTTGTGCAAATCGTCAACGCGTACATTTACCTACTTTTGATAAATGTTAGAAAAGTAACTAATTTAGAATAGAATAGAATAGAAAATCATTTATTCAAATAAACTTATATTGAAGCACTTTTGAATAGTCATAACATTTTTTTTTTTAGTTTATAGAGGAAATTGAATGTAGAAATCAACCGAAATTAGATATTACATTGATTATTTATTAATATTTAATTAAAATGTCCAAATATTATCAATGTAGAATATTAATATAATATTATAAACGCGAAAGTTTGTAAGTATGGATGATTGTTACTCTTTCACTCAAACTACTGAACAAATTTTGATCTAACTTTACAGTAATATAGCTTATGCATCCTAATAACACTTAGGCTATATTTTATATTGAAATTTACTGCGAGTGAAACCGCGAGAACTGTTATTAAATAAAAATACAAATATTTAAGTATATTTAAGTAGTGAAAGCTTTCTATTTTGATAACAAGGTATAATGCCAAAGTCGGCAGAAAAACTCTATATTTATTTATTGTCGTATACGCTATATATAATTTTAATTCTAATTAATATATTTTAGGAGACACGATAATTTATTTATTCATTTAATTCAGGCTACATGGCCCATATTATAAATACCTTATAGACTAACATACATAATAAATAATAATAAAATATGTAAATAAAATTGTCTCTATGGTCACGGCACTGACGACGGCAATCTGCCATGGTAGCGCCGATAGACCACCCCCTTCGGCCAATAGTCCTCCTTCATGAAGGTGGGCAGCATGTTGGTGGGGACCCGGGCCACGAACGCTTTGAAGCTCGCGTTGTGGCTCGATTCCAACTGCGTCACCCTCAATGTCAGGTTGCTTTTAGTCCGGATGTAGTCAACAATGTCCTGTTCCTTGGTAGCGTAGTGTAGGCGGGATAGGTACGTTGCCGTGTTGCGATTATAATGAAAGTGCATGAGTACTTGATGGGTAAAATGTTATATCCATGGGGAAACCTAGCTCTTTCAACGAGCCCCCTTACTTTGAGCTCCAAAGTTAAACGAATGGTTCCTGTGGGCATTATGCAAGGAACACATACATTTCTA